TAAACGACCCAAATGCCCCTTGGTGAATGAATGAACAAACAAAATGGGGATCCATTCAAGCAATAGATTGTGCAGTGCTAAACAGGGTGACAGTATTGATAGAAGGGCCTGGGAGGTGGCTCAGGGTTTAAAGTGCCCGTTGTCCAATCACGAGGCCTGTAGTTCCAATCCCCCAGAGCCCATGAAAATGCCAGGTGGGCATGGTGGCTTGGAAGCCAGAGACAGGATTCCAGAGCAAGCTAGCTGGCTAGACGTGTCAAATCAGCATGCTCTGGGGCCAAGTGAGAGAACCTGCCTCGAGGAATAAAGTACACTCACATGCACACACATGTTCCCATGCACACGCGGTGTGGGGGAGGAGGGGAACACAACGACACTGACATATGTTACAAGAATGACTTTGAAAACATTAGCTTTAGCGTGGGAGGCTCATACTGTATCGCCTGGTTTCTGTGAAATGTCCAGACGAGGCAAACCTACAGAAACAGCATAGCAGTAGCTGTCGGGCGTTGCGAGGCAGGGAAGAAAGGGAGGGAGTGCTTAAATAGATTGTTTCCTTTGAGGGTGATGGAAGTGTTTGGAAACCAGATAATGGTGTTGGTGACAGAACACTGGGAATGAACCCAGGGCTGAACTGCATATGTGAAGACAGCCGAATGATGGTTCTGTATGTTAGGCGAATCTTGCTCACCACAGAAGGAGAAGAAAAAGCAAACCAAGAAAGAGCTATTTTATGTAAATGTTATCTGGCATCATTTGACACTGAAGTTATGAAAGTGCCCTCGTGTGTAACATTCATGAATGAAAGGGCCATTGTGTAACCTCTAATGAATGAAAATGCTACGGGGTGCAACCTGTCATGAATGGAGGTGCCATTGTGTTTAAATACAGTTTAAGAGATTGACAGCAGACGCGGCTGCCTCCACTTCACTGACATGGCATTGGTGGTATTTTCAGTTAAGTTTTTCCTAAAGAAAAATAAAATAGCCTAGCTTCTAAGGGAGGGCCAAGTCTCCCTGTGTGAACTGACCCCGCTGGATGCTGTCTCTAACAGGTCCAAATGTTAATTTGCTGGAAAGGTTGCCATCGTGGCCAGCCAGTTAATCCTTATGCAAAAGAGTGGTTTATGGTTTAGGCCAGCCCTGCCCCCCAAGCTGGGTTGCGGTGATAGGAACCCTTGAGCAGTTGTGGTGTTCTTTCTGGAAGGTCAAAGTCTAGAGGCAAGATGAAGGAGCCCTTCCCCGCTTGCTGTCTTCCTCGAATCGACGCGTAGTCTTTCTCTAGGAGCTGAAAAGCTCCTGTTTTGTAGTCCTGGTTTATTTTTAATTTTTAAAAAACGGTATTACTTAGCTTATTTACCAGTCTTTGTGGCAAATAACTTTGGCCTGTTTACAAAAATCAGGATTATCCCCAAAGGACAAAAAAATGTGTCACCCTCAGACATATTCAAAAGAATGTGCCAGAGGCTCCAGGACCAGTTCCAAAGAGCAGTTAAAAAAAAAGAAGAAAGGTCTTTCATTTGAATGATGGGAAATATAATTTAAATAAATGCGTTGCCTGCCAAGGTGACTACTTACTAGTCAAAGTGGGGCAACACCCATTTAGAAGTGTTTATTTAAAAATCAGTCACATCACCGGGTAGTTAGACCTTGAGTTAATTTTCTAATGGGGACAATGACATATCCAGCACTCGCCTTTCCCGACTCTGCCATCTCACCCTTAGTCTAAAATAGATGGATTATAATCTTTCCTTACAGATGAAGCAGGCGTGAGTTCTCTTCTGTATCCTTCTCCCTTCCAGGAAGGGAGAGGAATAGGGAATTCCTAAGTATGCTCCCCTCCCCACCGGCCCAATAACACAAGCCTTGCAGTGTGCAGTGTTTAAAATGCCTGCAAGCACTCTGACCTACTTTATCTCATTCACTCCTCACAATGGCCTGACTAGGAACACCCGGCCCCAGCCTCACACTCTTTGGACACTGCACCGAGCTGCCAGGAGGAAAAGCTTAAAGGACTCCCTCAAACTTCTGCAGCCAATGGCAGAGCCTGCCAGAACTGGAGGCACCCTATTTTGATTGGAGGGGGAAGGGAGGGCGTGAGACAGGGTCTCTTGCAGCACAAGCTGATCTTGAGCTTTGTTGTTGTTGTTGTTGTTGTTGTTATTGTTTTGACTAATTGATTAAAATAAACTTTTAATCGCTTGTATATGTATGAGTGCTTGGCCTGCGTGTGCGTACGTGCTGTACGTGTGTGCCTGGTGCCTGAGGAGGCCAGAAAGGTCATTGGATCCTCTGGAACTGGAGTTATACGTGGTCGTGAACCACCATGTGGGTGCTGGGAACTGAACCTGGGTCCTCTCCAAGAGCAAGAGGGGCTCTTAACTGTTGCACCATCTCCACCTCCTTATATGTGTATTCTGAGACAGGGTTTCATGTGAGGTAGCACAGGCTGGTCTTGAACCCTGTGTGTAGCCGAGGATGGTTTTGAATGTCTTCCATTGTCTGTATTGCACGCACCCACATGTACAGGTGTGCACAGCTGTGCTTGCATATGTAAAGGCTAGAGGAGGGCTTTGGCTGTTTTGTTCCATGGCTCTCCACCTTATTCCCTTGATCCCTTGAGACAGGGTCTCCTACTGAGCCTGGAGCTAGGCTACCAGCCAGTAAACCCCTACTTTTTAACGTGGGTGCTGGGGACTCAAACTCTGGTCCTCATGCTTGTACAGTGAGGGCCTCCCCCCACTGAGCCATCTCCCCAGCCTCTGGTCTTGAACTCTTTACCCCCGAAAGCTGGGGTCACACATATGAGCCGCTATGTGTAGGCCCTGTTTTGACTCTTATCACAGTGCTCTCCGGTACAACCAGACTATCCTAACGCTCGGAATCCCTGGCTGTGTGAAGCTCAAGCCTAAAGACAAGAAGTCAACTGTGTTTAGCTTTGAGGCACTGTGGTGTTCTCTAGTTTTGTTTGTGGGTCGGTCTGTCTGTTTTTCCAGCCCCTTCCAGGCTGGCTGCCATCTTGAACTTCTCCAGCTGTTAGACTGATTCTAGTAAAGCGTTCCCTACTTTGAGCTCAGGCTCTGGTTGTAAAATGTTCCAGGTGGCTGGTAGGGGGTGGGGGGAAGGAAGGGAAGCAGAGCTTATGGCAATATTTACCTGGGATGTAAACCCCATATGTTATTCACTCAGCGTGAGCTAGATCTAAAAAGGCAATGTTTCTGTTTCGGTAATGCAATTTGATGTGGCCCTTCCCAGAATAAGCCTCTCATGTGGAAAGACTCATATGAAACTAGACATGTGGAATTGAATGGTGGGTGATTTTGTTTGTTGTTGTTAATAATGGAAAACATGACTTTAATGCTTGGGTGTATTTTTCTCAGCCTCCAAAGAAACATCCACGAGCTGCTGATGACCAGCTGAAACCTCAGCTCATCCTCCATCAGGGGCTGGTACTATTCAAAGGCCTGTATCCGTGTCCACAGACACGGCCATGTACAGGCTACCGGTTCATACAGCACCACACACAGCCCCGTGCACACATCTGATACTCTTTCCAGAGTCCCCCAAACATGCCACTCGCTCTGGCTCATTTATGTTCCCCCACCACTTTGTGTGTGTACGTATGGAGGGGTACAGGCACCACCACCACCACCCCCCACCCGGATAAGCAAACAGAGGCCAGAGAAGGATGTCAAGACAAGTTCTCACTGAAGCAGAAGTTCCCCATTTCATTTAGACTGAGACCCAGACAGCCATTCTCTTTGTCCCCTGAGGGTTATCGGCAACTCAGTGATACCCAGCTTTTTTGACATGGGTGCTATAGACTGAAACTCATTCTTGCAGAGCAAACACTCCTGCTCGCGGAGCCATCTCCCCAACCATCCTCCACTTTCCCCTCCTTGAAACAGGGTCTCACTCTGGAGCCCATACTTGAAATCAATTCTCCCACCTCCGCCACCTGAGTGTGCACTAGGTGTGTGCCTCCATGCCTGCTTCTCCTGTCACTTTGAAAGATGAGAGGTTCTTGTTTTCTGGACAGAAACAAAAATCATTTAAACACCAGTTCTGCTTCCCGAGGGAACTTTGAATCTGCTCCCCATTGGGTGGCAGCAGCTTTCCCATGGAACCCTGGGTTAGCAGGCTCGGACCTGCCACTCCTGGCAGCCACTCTCCCGTGGCTGGCTGGCAGGCTCAGTTTTCAGGTATTGTCACATGTCACAGCCTGCTAATCTGGCCTTTGCCTCACTGAAAAATGCCGAGAAGGACTACGTCAGCTGGTTGTTTGTCACACAGCCATAAAGGCCCATCCAGGGGTGCCGAGAAGTGGTTCACGTGGCTTTTGTCTGCCTGTAACAAGGCTCCTGGAGCAAATCTCATCAGCTCACCCTTCAGACTCCGGCGTCAGCTGCTCAGGGAAACGGTGAGGAAGAAAGGATTCAGGGGAAGGCAGCAGCTGCTGAGTCAGAATGGTGGTGTTGGAAAGCTTAGAAGAGACACTGTCAAGCCAGGTTTCTCTGCTTCAGTGTTAGCCTTCCGCGGCCCTGCCAGGATCCAACAGGGAGAGGACAGGAGGCAGCAGAAGCCAGGGGAAGTGGCTCAAGATGTGACCAGGAATTTTGTGCTTGTGACTGCTTGAGCTGACATAGGAACTCCTTTAGGTAGAGAGTTCAGCCACTGCTGCTATCTGAACCAGTGTGACTCATAGTAGATTGCTGGCTATTCATTTTCTAATTCAGAGAAGGCTCTGACTACACTGCGGGGAACTTGGTAAGAAATTCATTGGTGGTTCCCTTCTTATCTGTAAAACGGGAGTCATCACATGTAAAGAGTGATGAAGATTAAATAATAAACATACGTGCTCAGTGTCTTTTCTATAAATGAGAGGTGTGATTTTAGACTATCAGAGAAGAAGTAAGCCAATGGTTTTGAAAGCCTTAGGAAACTTAGCAGTATTGTCACTGTCAGAATGTTCTTCGTGGGGGCCAGAGAGACAGCTCAGTGGTTAAAGGCACCTACCACCAAACCAGATGACCACACAGGAACCACACAGTGGAAGGTGAGAACTAATTCTCACCAAGTTGTCCTTTGGCCTTCATAGTTACACCGTGACTCACAGGTATGCCCACATAGGAACACAAAAGACATACATGTAATAAAAAAAATTAAAAGAACAAGAATGTTCTTGGATCCTTCCTAAGCCTTCCTATCGGTGTTTTAAACATGGTTGTTTCTTTATTTTCCTCTTTCCCATGCTCAGGTTTACCCACAGCTGCTGATGAGTTCCCAGTAGGATCCATTTCTGGTTGCAAGGGCCTGGTACAAGAAGAAAAAAAAAAAAACAAACAAGCAAACGAAAAACAGGCAAATCTCCACCAGAAGCCTAAGAATTGTCTCATCAACCAAAACAGATGTAAGTGGAGTTTTTGGAATGGTACATTAAGGGCTTGGACTTTTGCCAGCATAGTAGCACACGTCTATGAAGAAGGAGGGTCACTGAAAGTTTGAGGCCAGCCTGGTTTACTTAGCTAGTGAAACTTTGTCTCAAAAGAAAGGAAGAGAGGGAAGAAGTAGGGAGGGAGGGAGTGTTCCCATCCATTCTGCCTGGTTAGTATCCTCACAAAACTCCTGTAGCAGTTCACAAGATGGCAGGGCAGACACTTGGATCTGTTGATACAGTTCAACTGATGAACTGGCATCGTCATCAAGGTCATGGGTAATAAGGACACATGTTTCTTCATCCTACGTTCACGAGTTCAACAGCCACCACTACACTGCCCTCAGGCTAGAGTTGAGTGCATTGGGGGCCAACTCTAGCAGACTCGTACTCAGGGAAGCAGACACGGCCTGATTGAATAAAGAAGTCTGGGGTCTTGGTATCAGCAGCTTGGTGTGGAAGGTCCTGATGGGTTTCTTCACCTTGGCCCATTTGTAGGGACAGCACAGGGGACAGCGAGAGTGGACCTTAGGAGTCAAGGTCCACTGGAGGCCTCTCTTGCCTGGAGTGAAAGGTGCCGCTGGCTGGAAAGATGCCCCTCTCCCAGAGGCCAGACTAGACTTCAGCAGCTTCCGAGTTCCCAGGCTCTGGAAGTGGATCTCAGCCCACTCCCTCCATCACAGTCATTTGTGAGCTGATCCTCAACTAGGGGCTGAGTGCCCTTCCCAAGGGAGCCTGGAGAGGCTCTGGTTAGTCCTGCCCTTCCCAAGGTCACCCTGGGCAGCAAGCCAAAGAAACAATTTATGGAAGAAGCAGGAGCATAATATAAATTATTTTTTAACTAACCCTCAGTTATCTGATCACCCTGGGTCTCTGCTCAAGATAAAAATCCCAAGAGTTAAACACACTTCAAGAAGAGGTAGCTTCGCTTCTTCTCAGGGACGCAGCCAGAGGCAGGGCGGAACACCCATAAAACTTGCCCTCCTCTGCTGAATGACCTATGAAATGAAAAGGGGGGAGCTGGGGATGTACTCAGTGGTAGAGCGCTTGCCCGGCATGTGGCAGCGCCTGGGTTTGATCTCCAGGGAAGGGACAGGTCAAGAGGTGAGGATAAGAAGAACAAAGTACTTAAAGTTAAAAAGGAATTAAAAAAAAAAAAGATACTGTCCTGGTTTTCTTTCTAAGAAATGAACGGGTCACCGGAACTCCTGACTCATTTGTTTGAACAGTTAAGGGACTGGGAGTGGGGATGTCATTTAACCCTGCTTGGGACAGAGAGATGTCAGGATAAATTTGCCAGGGGAAACACAGCAAATTCCAAAGGCAAGGCTAAAACCATGTGCCTTCAACTTAGACCTGTTTCCAGAAAGATTTGCTCCTCCATGCCCTAGCGAGAACGATGAAATCCCAATAAACGGGGAACTTTGTTAATAACTAGGATCAATGTGGTGTTTCTACAACGCTATCCTGCCGGAGCCTAGCGAGTCTTCTGGGAGAGTAGCAACATGTCCTTGAAGAGACATTTCTGTAGTAAATTGCTCTCTTGGTTAATCTTTCCCCCCTTTTCAGCAGTTCCAGCCATTTGTGTGTTTGTGTGTTGCTTTAATATGTATATATATATAGTATATGTAATATATGCTGTTAGAATATATTTAATATATATTGTTTGCTTTAATATATACAGCATATGTTATATATGTTGTTATAATATATATTCAATATATATTGTTTTAAAAGCCTGACTTTATGTGCCCACAAGCCTGTAAATACCTATAGAGACCAGAGAGCATCGGATACCCTGGAGTTGGAGTTCCAGGTTATCTTAGTTGCGGTTTCTATTGCTGTGATGAAACACCATGACCAAAAGGCTAGTTGGGGAGGAGAAGGTTCATTTGGCTTACACTTCCATATCACTATTCATCATCGAAGGAAGCCAGGACAGAAACTTAAATGGAGGCAGGAGCTGATGCAGAGGTCATGGATGGGAGTTGCTTCCTGGCTTGCTTTTCATGGCTTGCTCAGCCTGCTTTCGTATAGAACCCAGGACCAGCGCAGAGACGGCACCACTCACAATGGGCTGGGACCTCCGCCTTCAACCACTAATTAGGAAAATGCCCTATGGCAGGATCTTATGGGGGCATTTTCTCAATTGAGGGTCCCTCCTTTTAGATGACTCTAGCTCAGGTCATACTGACACAAACTATCTCACATGTAGGTAGTTGTGAGTCTCCTGATGAGGAGGTTGGGAACTGAATCCAGGTCCTCTGCAAGAGCAGCAAGCTCCCCTAACCACTGAGCCATCCCTCCAGTCCTTGGTTTTGTTTTGTTTTTCGAGTTTCTCTGTATAACAGTCTTGGCTGTCCTGGAACTCACTGTAGACCAGGCTGTCCTGGAAGTGACAGAGATCTGCTTGTCTCTGCCTCCTGAGTGCTGGGATTAAAGGCGCACACCACTATCGCCCAGCTGGTTTTATTTTTGAGACAGGGTTTTCAACTGGCTAAGAGTCCTCTTGCCTTAACAACTCCCTCTGCCCCCAACCACCTGGGATTATAGGAGTGTATCATCAAACCTTCCTTGGCCATACCACTAGTATGGCTATTAGCACTGGAAAATAAACAAAGCTCTCCCCACTTTGGTTTCCATCCTACCCCAGGATGAACAAGGTGCCTGGCTTCTGAGGTTCTGGCATATGAGAAAGTCTCAGTAGGTGAGCACGTATCCAATTTGGCTATGTCATTGGCCACAGTCTGCTCTTTGCTATCCCTTCTGGGGGTGTTAGCTGGGTTTGGGGAGCACCAGGGCAATGTAAAGGAAGACATGACTGCTTCCGGGTATGGTGAGAAGGATTTTATTGTAGATATGAAGGAGAGAACAGCCTGAGTCCAGAGAACATGAGTCCAGACTGAACTGGGGCATGAGAGGAGGGGTGGAGAGGAAGAGAAGAGAGGGGCAAAAGAGGGGACCAGGAGACAAGAGCAGAGGATCAAGAGAAAGCATGACCAAAATGGCAGGTTTTCATAGGAGTGAGAAGCTGGGCTGGAGATGTTTAGAGTAGGGGGCATGGGAGGAGCCACAGGTGAGCAAAGTCCTTTGTTTCTCTGGGACCTGACACCAGGAATATTGAGTCTCAGGAAATGATTTAGGGTGGGGCATAGCTTTTGGTTCAGACTCATTTGTCAAACCCAGGGTCCCAATCTTGCTATATGCTATGCCAGTTTAGGATGGCCACATTGTGGGTGCTCAGGTAATGAAAAGCACATACATGCATTTTGCGATGGGATTGGATGGTTGAGATACAGCAGCATCATGCCTTGTTTAGACACTGTAAAACTTATAGTTGGCAAATTGGATCCCAGAAACCAAGTTTCAAAGAAATGTATTTAAATGTTTTCTACTAACTGCGGGTAGAGTCTTTATGTTACGATGTTGCCACGTTAAATAAGATTGAAAGTTCAGTTACTCTCTGTCACATTTCCTGCTAGTAGCTGTGTGCAGCTGGTGGCCATTTCCTAGGCCAGTGATTAGAAAGTGGACAACGGGTGCTGCAAAGTGACTGGCTAGACGGCAGGGCATTTTAGGCAGGTGCAAGAGTCTGAGAACCAGCGTGTGCCAAGCAGAACGGTTTGCTCAAAACGGAGTAACCGAGGCTGGAGAGGTATGAGTTTATTCCAGAGGGACAAGTTTGGAGTCCTAAGCACGACCTCAGGATCCTTCTTTGTGGCTACTTTGTTACAACAAGAATCACCAGTGCACCAGGTGAAATCATATGGCCGGTGCCAAGAGACTGTGGAGAACAGGGAGACACCAGGCAGAGGTGCAGGGGGTGCTGAGGCAGTGCCTGGCTGTGGATGAGAGACCAGAACCCTTTGAGGTCTTTACCAAGTCAGCGTCAACAGCACTTAGAAACCAGCCTGACTTTTTAGGGTGGTTGAGAAGAGGGGTGGGCATGGTTTGGGGGGCTTTGCCCGGGAAGGGGCTTGACTGAAAATTTAACCCTAGTACAGACAGCTGAACTACAGCCTTCACTGGAGTCTGGTTTTTTTTTTTTTTTTAATTTAAAACAAAGGTGCAATTTCTTGCTCCAGCCCCACCCTCTGAATCACAAGGGTGACCCTGGACTTTACCCTGTGTCTGAGATTGCGAGAGACACTCCTTAGTCCTTGGAACTTGGAGTGCTGGGTCCAGCCTGGAACAGAAGTAAGGGCCCTTTGTTCTCAGAAGCCAGGGCAGCGGAAAGCCCCCTGCTTCCTGCCTAGATGACCCTCTTCCCTTCCTCCCGGGGAGAAGCTTCGCTCCTCAGAAGAGTTCAAGTTTTGTTACAATGAAAGGGAAGGAACCCTTCCGGGGTTCCCCTCAACCTCCCTGTTCCCCCTTCTGCCCTGAGTTCCTGCAATCCTATCTTCCTATATGTGTGATCCAAATCAGCGGCAAGCGGCTGGGGCTGCTGGCACAGTCGGGGATCAACCCACAGACTGTGCTTCCTGCTACCCCACCTAAGTGCGAACTCCAAGGTGCCAATGTCCAGAAGTGTGAGGCGTGCCTGCCCCGCCCGAGTGAGATGTTGTACCAGTGGGGCAGAGAGTATGAGGAGTTTAAAGTGTGCATGATAGACAGACCAACCTGCCATTACTGTGCTCGGTGTCCTATGCCATAGGGGCAGCAGGGACAACTGCCTGGGCAATGAGAGTTAGAAAATCTAAACCTTCCAGGAGGTGGGTATCAGTCTCCTGGGCTGTGGCGTCGCAGTGGGTGAAGGCATGGAATGATAATGGACTGATTGCTTTAGTCCGTGAGGATAGCCCCCCTTTTTTGTTTGTTTTTTGGGGCTTCATTTTTTTCTTTATTTAAAAAGTTTTTAAATCTCTTTTTCTCTGTGTATGCAAAATAAGAGCCCATGATTCTTCTGTCCTCATCCCCTACAGCGCTGTAGGCACATGTGGTCACTTTGCTTTTTCCTGAGCGCTGGGGATTCAGTCTCAGGTCCTTATGCTTGTATAGCAAGGGCTCTTACCCATTAAGCATCTCTCCAGCACCCCCTTTAAAATCCATTTTTCTTTTGTTCTCTTGTTTTGTTTTTTGAGACTGTGAAACAGTCCTGGCTGTCCTGGAACTCACTCTGTAGACCAGGCTGGCCTCGAACTCACAGAGATCCACCTGCTTCTGCCTCCCAAGTGCTGGGATTAAAGGTATGTGCCACCACCGCCCAACCCATTGGCAAATTTTTAAAAATCTTTTTTTTTTTTTATTTCATGAAAAAAATGTTCGGATTCCTTTTAGATTGTTTTGTTCTATTTCTGTTCCTAAGATATTAATTCTCTTGTTATTGCAGCTGCTCAGTCTTCCTTGTGGTAGTTTATTTCACATATGTTTTATTCCTTTTGTGGTCACCTTCTGCAACAGCCAACTCTCCCCACCCCTGACCCCCAGTCTCCCAGGGAGTCCACTGTGGGTCATGTAATAAAACTACTTGAAAAGTGTGTCTCTTTCAAAGCTGTCGAGTTTTCTCCATCATGAGGTCATTTCTCATGGTATTTTCTTCATTTAGGACTCCATTAAAATGTCATGTCAGTTTTCAGTTCAAGGCTAGAGTCCATTGTGGAGGGGAATGTGTAAAGGAAGGAGTAGAAGGCAGCCGGTCACTTGGCATCTGAAGCCAGGAAGCCTGGCTTGATTTCGGAGACAGGCTACCACTGTTTATATAGCCTACACCGGCCTGGGACTCACTATGGAGCCCAGTGAGGTCGTGAATGATTCTTCTACTCAGCCTTCCGAATGTGGCATTACAGGCAGATGCCATCATGCCAGCTCTGGTGGGTTCTGTTTTCCTGATCTCTTGCTGTGTGCTAGGTACTGTCCAACGGTCTGATAAGTCTTCTCATGTCCTGCATGAGCACAGAGGTTCCCAGCCCTACAGTGCAGCTGTCCAAGGTCAGCTTCAAGGGGGGGTGTGGGTTCAAATCATGAAACTCCTCACCCATCTCTTTGAACAAGTCCACCGACCTCCAGACCATGGACGGTCCTTTTGGGAATGCTCCAAACATACCATTGGGAGCATTTAGGGAAACTACACTAATCTTTGTTAATTTTATTATTGGATGGCGGACAGGTGTCAGACACCAGGGGCTTGTGCTTACTTTCCCTGTTGCTAACAGGAATGACCTAGAAGAGTCTCCCTCCCTGTTCACTGTCTTAGTGGTGCTGGGCCTTGATTCTAGGACTTCTAGTGCGCTGGGCAAGCATGGTACTACCACTGAGTTACTACATCCCTAGCCTGAATGAGAAGCATTGAATTGTCACTGCTTTGCTTAGGTCCTGAATGCATCCAGTATAGGGTCTACAGTGCACAGGGAATCCCCACCCCCATGCTGAGCCCCTGGGCTGGGCGGGGCTGGGCAGAAGGTCCCTCCCAGTGCTGGTTGGGCGCTATGCCCAGACTTAGGCTTTTCTAGGTCAGGCGGTTCTATCTTCGGCCTGGCCCTAGGATACAGCTTGTGTAAACTGCAGACCTCGAAGGCATGCTGTGTAAACACAGACTATCTCCCTCTCCA